AAAAATCCCACTCACTCTGCCTTTCCATCCTCGGGGAGGGTTTATTACCCGGCCCAGCTGAAGGAGAACAGGACAATATATACATAAAATTGCTGGTTTACGGAGACCAGCTTCCTACGAGCGCACAGCGAGGGGGAGAAACGCGGAGCCCTTGGAATGGAAAACCGGGAACACGCACAAAGGGGGTGGGAAAACCAACAGCTGCAGAGACAAGACCTCGGCCATGCTTTCGGCAGGCCGGGGAAGGAAGGAGAGAGCGCGTGTTCCCCACGACGGCGCAAGGGGCTGGAATTTTACGGCATCGCAAGTGACACCGTCACTGATACACACGCTGGGCGCCTGTCGATTGTCTTTGGTTTCAAGCCCTCTAAGCACATCACTGCCCTTCGCCCGTCTCCCTGTCCAGCCTCGCCTGGGGGTTGCTCTGGTTTCTGGTCCAACGAAAACCAAATCGATACAAAGTAAAAACGCCATTTGCCTTCCAGCCTCCATCAGCGTCCGACGGCAGGAAGGGCCGGGGCTCCGCCGCCGCGTTACCAGCCTGGGGTCGCCGCGCCAGGGCGGCTGCACACTCCACCCGACAGTGGCTTAGGTACGGCGCCGACCTTCCGGAAAACCACACGCTGCCGGTGGAACAGAAACCTTCCACCTTCCCCAGCCTCACTGAGCAAACCCGCCCCGGTGCTCCCAGTCTGCCTGCCAGGAAGCAATGCAAAGAGAAGAACCGAGGCCAGAGATACGGACGCTCCGCCCTCACCTCCTCGCCCCGCCCCCTTCGCTCCCAGGGTGGGCACCGGAGAGTCCTGAGGGGCTTGCTTCATATCTACTGCCCTCCTGGGCTTCACACCGCAGGCCCCGACTCCAATGGACAGGACACGCGGGCCGCGGCCATCAGAGCCCTTCCACCAGTGGGGGGAGACACCCGCCCTCGTGCGCTCACCGGGCCAAGGGACTCGATTCCAGGGCCACCAGATCAACACGGATCTTTGGATCCATGTCAGGGGACACCGGCTTGCTTCATATCTACTGCCCTCCTGGGCTTCACACCGCAGGCCCCGACTCCAATGGACAGGACACGCGGGCCGCGGCCATCAGAGCCCTTCCACCAGTGGGGGGAGACACCCGCCCTCGTGCGCTCACCGGGCCAAGGGACTCGATTCCAGGGCCACCAGATCAACACGGATCTTTGGATCCATGTCAGGGGACACCGGGCCCCGGGAGCCCATCTCCCTCCCCGGCCTGCGGGCCTGGGCCTGGCGGGAGCCATGGGTGGCGCGAGGGGTCATCCCCCTTGTACCTCCCTCCCCCACCGAGAGCTAACCTGGGGTTCTCGCCCAGCACTGCCTCCGCAGGCCCCAAGCAGCTCCCAGCCCTGC